GTATCTCCATGAAGCCAGAAGTCGCAATTTAGAGCTTTAGGTATAGAAGTGGATATATGATACACAGACACAGACACAGACACACACACACACACACACACACACACACACACACACACACATCTATTTCATGAAAGACCACCACTAAGAATACTGCACTCCTTTCATCATAATTATCCATCGCCAGGATGCAGTAGAAAGTTTCATCAAAAACTAATTCAAAAGGCTAAATGTATCATCTGATGTCTTCCTAAGGAAAAAGAAATAGCATCAGACCACATTTAAATTTCTATAAATCTTCTGCTAATTTAAATGGATTTAGAATTAATTAAAAATGTTTTTCAATTGATAATAATGTAACTCAGATAATTAGCATCAAGTAGCATCTAGAGGACATATTTAAAAAAACTAATCTAGAGTACAGACCTAATTAACAATTAGAATAACACTTTATAATTATGCTTTGTTTATAAATGCTAGAATGTCCAATTCATTGTTCAATGAAATTGGTCATTAATGAAAATCAAAATTATTTTTCCCTGGTGTCTCCATGAAGATGCCTCTTAGATGCACTGGCTTTTATGCTGCCTATTTTCTTGGTGCTTTTTAAAGGCCATTCCTGTCCAATATTTAATAACTTTATTCTTTAATTAAAGCTGAACAATACCATACCTTATTGTGCACACTAACTTACACCTTTTTGGTAATTAAGCAGATGCATTTGACTACAAACCTGAATTCTCTCACGTCAAGCCTAAAGAGATAACTGTGCAGTATGGAAAACCCAAGGGTGACAAAGATACCATGACCATATGAAGAGACATAGGGCTGGATACCTTCATGAAAGCAAAGAGACTAGAAAACCAGGGAACTAGGAAACTACTAGTCTAGGAGAACAACAGCTCCATCAGTGGAATTAGGGAAGTGGGTTCTGGAGAGGCAGGGAGGTTGCTGGAAGACACCTAAGTTCAGCTACAGAAGTGGAACTTCTAGAAAGACCTCTATGCAGAAAAATGCAGGCTAACTGCTGAGAACTTGGATTTAGAATTGAGAAGGCAGTTCAAAGTGAATACTGATTGAGAAGGTCATCTGAAAAGAAGCAAGTGTTGAAGCCATATAGAAGTGTGGGATTTCCCACAGAAATGCAAAAAAAGAGGAAAACAAGGACTGGACCTGGAGAGAGTCTACACCTGATGCCAAGTGTGAGTCCAGGCTACTTATACAAGATGAAAGAAGGGTTAGTGAGGGAAGCAGAGAAAAAGTCAGAGAAAAGTCAGAGACCTGGGAGAATGGTGGGAACAGCAGTGTATCCAGAATCCAAAAAGGGAGGAATTGTTGAAAAAGAGTTACCTGGTTTTCTTTTCTCCTCCTTGTGGTACTAGTATGCTATGGAGCTCAGGGAAGGTACAGACTATTGTGATAGAAGTCACATGTGTAGTGGGAAGACTGCCTGGATTCATATCCTGACTCCCTCAGTTTCTCTCTGTGGAAATTTGGGCAAGTTTTACATTACTCTGTGCCTCAGTTTGCTCGTCTGTACATCAAGGTGATAAGCCAGTGCCCTTCTTGACTCTTTGAAGGTTGTTGTGAGAAGCAAATGTGTTTATTCACGGTGATTTGTTTGGTATTTTGCACAGAGTAAACCCTTAATATGTGTTAGCTATATCCATACTGTGACTTTTCTGGAGCAAAGTGATAAAAGCTGAGCCTACACTCAACTGAAAGTTACCAGCAAAGTTGTGGCAAAGTTGAGTGTCTTAGGTCATGGTTCTCAAACTTTGGCATGCATTAGAGCCACCTGGAAGCTTTGCTGGCCCCCAATCCTGAGTTTCTGGTTCAGTAGGTATGGGTGGGGCTTGAGAATTTGCAAGCCTAACAAGTACACTATAGCTGATGCTCTCCATTCAGGGACCCACACTTTCAGAACCACTGTCTTCATGAGTAGAGGAAAAGACTCTACAAATCTGGGAATCCAGTCCAGGCCTTCAACCTCTTTTAAGTTCAACTTGAGAACACACATGCTAGCAAGATTAGTTTCATGTGCACGTGGGTGAAGTGGGCAGTGGAGTACTTCTTAGCTCTTAAAGGCTCTTTCTATTCTGGCCCTTCCTATGTCCAGGAAATTGGCTAGTCCAAACTTAACTGATATATGGATACTTCTGCAAGTTATCTGCCAATTTCTCTGAGTACTTTCTTTCATGGACAGAGAGGGCTGTGTAAAATTTTAGAATGTGATGGGTCCCCTGAAATCCAAGTGGACCAACTGAAACCATCACCAACATGATGGTTAGCATGTACGGATGGCTTACCATGTGCCATCACTGTGGTATTCACTCTACATACACTTTACCATCCAGTTCTCCCAACTACTGTGACAGTCAAGCATTATCATGCTATGGCACAGAGTAGAAGGATGCCTAGAAAGGTGAAGTGACATTATAAGGCCTTGGCTGATGAGTGACAGAAACCAGGATTATTGGCCAGTGTCAACTACAAAACCTATGCTCTCAGCCACTCATCTAAGTGGTTCTTGCCTTCTCTCTTTTCCTCAGGAAAGATGTGCATCAGCAATTACAATCTGTCTACAATGATACCCTTCACCCTGCCCCCGTATCTCTTCCTGGATAATTATTCTGTATGAGGCATGGCTTCTAATCCCTTTGTCAAACTATTCAGGATCCTTTGAGTGTGCTTGAGGAAGTCATTGTCCTAAAAACTGAATAGGTGGGTGTGATTATCCAGAGAAGAATTTAAACAACAAAGTTTCTATATTTAGGAGGCATGATCTTCTTAGTCTTATTCCTTATTATTTTCTACTGCTATTCCTACTCAACTATCAGTAGAAATAACTGATTTATTTACGTATGTTTCTTATTATATTCATTTATCCTTCCATTCTTTATTTTGTTCCACCCTGTTTTAAATTTATTTTTAAGTGTTTATTTATTTTTTAGAGAGAAAGAGACAGAGTATGAGCTGGGAGGGGCAGAAAAAGACAGAGACAGAATCTGAAGCAGGCTCCAGGCTCTGAGCTGTCAGCACAGAGCCTGCCGTGGGGCTTGAACTCAGGAACTGTGAGATCATGACCTGAGCCAAAGTCGGACGCTTAACAAACGGAACCACTCCACTCTCTTTGTTTTGTATATGTGGAAACTAAATGTTAGAGAGAAAAACAGATTTGGGTAGGGTCACTCTAATCCTAAATGTTTGAGCAAGGATTCAAATCCAGCTACGTTAGACTCCACCATGAAATATGCATCCAGATTCAAAGCTCCTGAGAACTTGCTCAGTCTGATGACTCAAAAAGACAAACTTCTCATTAAGCAGAAAATGAAATTGCCTAAACTTCTCGTTCCACACCATATGGCTGAATCCCAGCTGACAGGAAGCTCATTTCTGCAACACACTAAGCTCATTTCACTGAGTAGGTTGATGCGAGATTTGTAGGGTGGTCATTTCCTAATCTTTTTAGCATTGATAGCAACAGTGGTATTTATCATGATGCTTCCTTTCTACATTTTAACATGAAAAAGCAAATGTTCCTGATGATGGAGAGAGATAGATCTTTTCCTAAATTGTTCTCTAAGTAAAATATCAAAAGCATAAGCAATGACAGCAGCAACAACAACAACAAAATATCCACCTGCTTTCAAATGACCAAAAATTACAATAATCTTCTAGTCCTACTTAACTGTAGGGTGGGGAAGGGGAAAGTTCTTAAATGATACCATCACAGAGTTTTGCACAGGAAGGTAAAACCAAAGTATTTGGACATCTAAAATTATTCTGAATCTTTGAAGATTCAGATTTTAAAGAAGTGAGGTGACTCACAAAGTGCCGAAGAACTAACGGGAGGTACCAAACTCCATTTGTACACAATTATCTTAGCAGGAGATACCATCACTTTTCCCCTGGGCAATTATTTTATAGCTGGTATAGCTAAGTATTCTTTAACAAAAGGAGAGCCAGAAATTTTTGTGTTTGTTTCCTCCACCACCCCCCAAAACGTAGAACTCATGTGAGAAGTGCTATTTCTACAAGTAACAGAGAAAAACATTAATACTAAGGGTTGGCCAAGGTCTTAGAACGTATTTATAGGCATTTAGGTATGCTGAGTCTGGAGTCCTTGGGCAAGGATTTCAACTGGTAGCTTGATCTTAGACCATTTTCTTTACTGTTGGTAAGCGTTTGTGTACTTATCTGAAATTGGGACAAATTTGAGGAGGTAGCAAGGTATAGTGCTTTAAAGTCAAGCATGCTGAATTCAAAATACCTGATTGATAAAACATGAAGTCATTTAATCCTAGGGACAACTTGAGATGGTAGGTGTTCATAGTCCCACTGAGCAGGACAGAAAACTGGCTCAGTGAGGTCAATACCTTGCCCAAAGTCACACAGCTAATTGGTGACAGAGCAGGGACACAAGACAGATTAGCTCCAGCACCAGGACTCTGAAACCACCATATTAGACCATTTCGCTATAACTACAGAAGACTAATTTGTTGTGTGCTCCAATCCAGTGATTGCAACAGTGGCACCATAGATATTCCTGCAAATGTTTTCACCAATTAATTCTTGGGTCTTTCCACCAGAACTTCTAATTCAGCATGTCACAGTTGGATCCATGTGACTTTTCAGAAGTTCCCTAGGCAATTCTTAATTTATAACCCAGTTTAGGAATCTCCGTATCATGTATGTAGGTCTTGACTGCTTCTACCAAAACTGCCTGAGAGGACAGTATGTGTTCATGCGTATTTGTTGGCATTAACATGTTCCCCCAAATGAAGCTCAGTGTTGGTAGTCATGTCACAAAACCTCCTGACTTGAGAACTTTTCACTGGGGTACCAAATTCTGAGTTTAGGGGGTGGGGGAGTTCATCTACCTTACTTTAAGAGAATCCAGGTAATTGGCCTAAATCTCTCTTCAAGGCAACATTTCCCTTTTCCTCTAAAATGTATACATTGGTATCATATCAATTATATGATCAAAGTTTCCTTACCTAAAACTCTTAATCTCTCAGCTCCTACTACCACTTCATCGTTATCTGCAGAAAAGAGCAATTTTCCAGAAACTGTCTTTACTTCAAACTTTTTGCCATAAGCTTCTACGGCTTTTGGACCTAGAATGGGGGGGGGGCAGAGAGAGATGGAGAGGAAGAGGGAGAGGGAGAGAGAGAGAGAGAGAGACATTAGTCTCATTGCATTCAATTACAAAGAGTTTTTCACAGGACACATGCATCTGATGAGGTTGTGTGGGACTTTAATATAAGTGGATTGTTTTTCACGAGCCAATCATGAAAATTAGTCTTGTGACTCTGGCCATGTCTTGTCAATTACTTTTAATCATGTGCTCTCAGGCTGATTTTAAAGACCATCGTGTCCCTTCTTCAAACTAATGCTTGAATGAGGTTTCCCTTAGCTAACTACCAAATTACTATCAAATACTTGTAGATTTTGGCTTGAAAGTACCAAGGCATAGAAAGTTCACCACCTCTTGAAGTAATCGGAATATCTATGGCCAGCTCTAACTCTTGGAAAGGGTGCCTTTAAATTCAATTGAAGTCTGTCTCAGCCGGTACCCTTAAACCATTGGCTGTATTTGATACCAGACAAGTCTATTTTCTCAGTATATATAGATCATTTCCTGGCAGAAAAGGCCAGAAAATATATGGCAATTAATTACCAGAAAGTTATTGAATCTTTTATGCTACAATTTCACTCAATAAAAAAGAAATTTTAGAGGATATCATATGGTAACAAATGTTATCCTTGAAGGGAAGCTATTGTAGTGGCATCTTCTGATGAACCCAAATAGAGGTTTAGACATTTATTAGTAAATCAGAAAACTGCAGAGTTTTGGGTACCATGGAAAAAATAAAACAAACTAATGTGTTAGAATTCCTTAAACAAACAAAAAACCAAACAGAAGGCATTGTAGTTTATCTGAACTAGAGCTAACTGAATATCTCAAGTTCAGGTGGCTCTCAAAAGCTGGTCTGCAGAAATTAATCAGAATAACCTGGGAGGTATAATCATCTTCACAGAACCTCACTCAGATCAAAAAGAATTTATCTTTTGGTCCAGAAATTCATAAAGAAAAAAAATGGAGGAAAGAGTCTAGAAATCTTATATTTTCCCAAAGCTGATCAGGAGATTCTGATAGAGCATTTCTGTTTCAAGTTATTTTCAAGACAGTGTCATTTAATTATAAAAAGCAGTAATGAAAGGGCCCTCAATGCCTTCCAGGTATAGACCAAAGAGAACAAACATGTAGGTGAACAAGTTGAGTTTATTATTCATTGTTGTGATAGAGAACACACACCAGGGGCAACCACTCAGGGCATCTCAGTAAGAAAGACCTTACTATAGTATTTGGTTTTATGTTAAGTTATTTTGGGGCTGAATTTAAGGAAGCAAGGCTTTGCTTTGGATAAGGTGCTGACAGGAAGTGGGTGTAATTTTACAATTGGCATGTTAATAAATCTTATCTAGAGGTGGGGAAGATCAGAGCAATGCTAAACCTGGAATGGATAAAAAACAGAAGTCACTGATATTAACCAGGGTTGAAGAAGTTCAGTCATTTTGCTGGTTTGGATAGGTGTTTCCATTTTTATCTGTTTTCAGACATGATTAGAGTTGTCTTTGTTTTCTGTTTTGTCTTGATCCTTCATGACTGCCACGTTGCCTTGTCTGGTGCTGATGTTCTGCGAAATGGATTATGTTCAAACAGGAGAACACAAAAGACTGGCTTATATTGCCAGGACTGCTCCTGGACGTCTAGGGGTGTTTTCCTCAACGACAAGACTATCAGACTAAGAATCAGAAGATAAGAATTATGTTCCAACTCTCTCATTTTCTGGTAATCTGACTTGGGGAAAATCCTCTGATCTTTCTGAACCTCATTTTTCTGCATCTGTAGAATTGTACTATCACCATCTCTTCTATTACCTTATAGAAAGATTAAAAGGATCAAATTATACTATATTTATAAAAAGCACTCTGTAGGTGGGAAAGTGCTGCGAAATCATGACTATCATCATTGTGATCATGACCTGTCACCAAGTTTCTAATACAGTGGTCCCAACACATTGAAAATAATTAATGACAATCACCTCTTAGTGCACTTGCCTCATTCACATAATCCTGCCAATTTGGAAGTGTGATCTCCCACTAGTACATCCACACCAGCCCTCTGACAAAAAGAAGGGCATTGGAAAGGCTCCTGAATGAATAGGAAATGGAAACAGCAGACACAGCAGAGACTTTCTAAATGGCATGGGACCGAGGCATTATCTTCTCCAATGGCCTTCATGCGTAGGTGAAAACAAGTGGCAGCAGAGCTAAGGGCTCTCTCAAGGTCATGAGGTCAGCTAATGGAAGATCTGGGTCTGGAATTGAGCTCTCAGAATTGTTCCATAGAAGAAAAGGGATGTGTGTTTGTCTAGAGAGGAGAAGACAGCTGGAGTCAACACAGGAGGAGCAGTGAGGAGGGGACCTTTTGGAAGATAGGGAGAGGGGGCGTCGAAAGCTACAGACAAGGACCAGAAAACAATCCTGAAAGAACAGGGATGGACAGTGAGGGCTTTTGATTAGGTGATTCTTGGAGGGCGAAGATGCAGGTATCTACTTGGTCATACTGAAGACTCTCTGGTCATACCAGAGGGGGGAGACTGGGTACCAGGAGGTGAAGAAGTGTTAATGAATGAATGAATGACCTTGGGATAGGCATGGGGTGAGCATAGTTTGACACTCTGGATCTAGTCAATGGCAAAATGGGGGTATGACTGGGAGACAAAACTGCTTTGCCTTTGCCTCCGTGGATCTGGGCAGTTTCATGAGATATGGCCCTGGAGGAGTTGAGAACACCTGCCTGTTTAAAGCAAGTTTGCTCTGAACTTATGACTGGTTCCTGAAACGTATGAGAGAATGTCCTAAAAACACCGAAACAATCAGATAACTCAAAACACAATTAAGTTATCTTGTTTTTCAGAGCTTCTCAGAACACAAAGGAATTTATCAAGGGCCAGAACCATTTGCACATATAAAGCTCTGTAGTTGGAAGTTCTAGCCAAAACCCCACAGAGCAACTGCTGGCTCAATGGTGCAGATGGCTTGTTCTTTTGTTGATTTTACCTGGGGCTGCCAAATGTCCTGGATGTGGCTAAAATCTTTAAAAACAAAACAAAACA